TACAGAGCAGTAAGAGAACAGAAATAAACTGATAGAAATCAGTAGCTGGTTCATGCATAACAACGCAGCACAACAAGCTTTGCGTGTGTAAAGCTCCTCTGCAGATGGAAATAAACTCTGACCACTGATGAAACTCAGCTCCAGTTAATGATCTAGCAGTCACTCTGTTGGGTTTGAGGCTCCAAGTCATCTTAAGCGATAGGTCATAATATTTCTTTCTGTCATTTTAAAACTGTTTACTCTAAAAGAGAAGGTCGTGTCTCTTCTCTTTCTCCTCTGCATGCATCTTCTCCATATTGTGATTATATCTGCCACACTGTTAAAAACTGCCTATTGGATGTGCATATGAGACAAGTAATGAATGCACCAATTTGCTGCTTAATTGGATCACTCTGCACTTATCAAATGAACATATTTTCCTCCTTTCCTCCCATAGTCTAGGTGAGTTCATAGCTAACCTCGCCTGGACTGTAAACACCACCTCACTGGTCAAAAGGGCAAAGAAGCGCTTGTACTTCCTGCAGAGGATGAGGAGAACCCACCTGCCCCCACCCATCCTTATCACCTTCTACAGAAGCACCATAGAGAGCGTTCTGACCAGCTGTCTCACTGTGTGGTGTGGAGGCTGCAGCGCCTCAGACTTGAAGAAGGTGAGAAGAGTAGTAAAAACAGCAGAAAAGATCATCGGGGCTCCTCTTCCCTTCATAAAAGACATTTCATCCCGGAACTGCGTGTCCCGAGCCCATAACATTATTAATGACCCCTAACACCCCCACCATGGACTGTTCTCCCTGCTGCCCTCTGGGAAGAGGCTTTGCAGCATCCGATGCAGGACCAGCAGGTTCTGTTACAGCATCCCCACTCTAAATCAAGTCACAAATCGAAACTCTTCATCACACTGATAACCTCATACCTAATGGAATTCCACTCAAATGTTTTTTTTCAGAATTTTTGCACCATATATGTATATATATATTTTTTCTTTTTGCACTACTGTCAACTTCCACACTAAAGCCTTTTTGCACCATGTCTTTCCTACACTGTTTACATTTTGATCACTGCTGCTCTTTTAAATGGAAATTAATTTTCACTGCTAAGATGCTGCTCATTCATTGTCAGAAAGCTGCATAAATGAAATTTTATTTTTTGTACACTCTATGTATATAAAATGACAAAAACATTAGTCTAAGTGTAAGTCTTTAATTGGACCCTGAGCTGAAACCTGAAGTGTTCGGTACAAACACCAAGTGGACAGCAGGAGGTGTTATTTTACAGCAAAGTCCAGCACACATCGATGTGTCTGGTCATCATTCATATCTGTGCTATTTGAATGCCACACTAATAAGAAATCATGATCTCTTTATAGTTTATCCTATGCTTAAAATAAAACTCCATCAGACTATCCGTGTTTATCTTGTTGGTTTGTTCCTCTCTTCCTGTGTTACAGAAGGTGCACAGCAGGACGATTAACTTGTAGAATTTTGTGGCACCACATACTTATGCCGTGGCCACATAGCTATGTCACGTCACGAGAGAAAGTTTGCGCACAAGTAACTTTTTAGAGAGAACTGATTAGTATTTCGTAGGAACAAATTAATATTTTGTTTGCACAATTTAACATTTTGTGTGCTCGTTGCATATACCTTTTTCCATGACAAGTCCCAGGCAACGTACTACTGAAATTATACAAAATAATGATCTTTTTCAAGATAATCGACTATATTGAGTTGTACTTGCATTGACTAGCCAGTAAAATACTACAACTTCACAGCAAGCTGATATATAATTCCATACTTGGTCAGAATACTCAAAGAGCATATTTGTAATTCTTTGGTTAAGCAGAATCAACTTTCAGAAACCCAGAATGCTGCTCCTATAGAACAAAGATGTCACTTTGTATTTTTATCCAGACCGGACAATATTACATTGACTGAAATTGTAAGAATTTTTTTCAGCAGAAATATGATTATAGAGCTATGAAATATGAAGTTCCTTGGGAAACCCTCATTAGACCTCTACAAACCTCATTTTAAGAGGCATTACTGAATTTTCTAATGATACTGTCACTTGTGACCACAACTTAGAACTGCAGCCCTATTCTGCTAGTTCTCGAAGATCATGCTCATACCTTTAAGGTTTATCGGGGTTTTTTTGTTTTTTTTTAAACAATTTTCACCTTAGTTAGAGTTGCCATTGGTGTCTGATTTGGATGCAAGTCGCTTCTAAATATCCACAAAATCAAAAAATGAATTTGACACTTAAATCGTTTGCTTTGGACCCTGTGGCAAAGTGGTTCAGTTTGTGTTTACCACTTGTCCCTTATTCTTTCTTCTGATCTGTAATGCTTAAATTTAAACATTAGTTTGCAACTTTGCTTCACTTACTATCCCGGGTTTGTTTGTGTTAGCATTATGTTGCAGTTTCCATCTATTTATGTTTAGGTTAAAGCTAGGACTTCTGGATTATTGGATGAAATAGTTTATTTTGTTTCAAAGTCTATTCATGGTATTTGTTTTCCTTTTTACTCACCATTGTTTGTTTAAGTATTTCCAACTAAATTGACTAGATGATGTCATCCATTACCTTGCTGGGTTCTACAATTTAGAGGGTCTCCTTTGGAATGATGCTTTGTTTGTTTTTCTTTAAAGTAACTTTTTGGGTTATCTTGTATCACATTGTTTATTTTGCAGACTCTTTCTTTATGTAGATGAGTTTGTCAATTAGATTAATTTTATTCTTGTTTTTCTGTTTAGACTTTGTTTGGTTTTTTTCTACCTGTTTAATTGAGGCTTGGTCCACTCAAGTGCAGGTGTGTTGCCACTTGGTTATATAAGCACTGAGCTCTTGGAATCTCAGAAAGGTTTTTCAGACTGAAATGCTGAATAAAAGACAACAGAGAAACTGAAACCGGTGGCTGACCTGTTTTTTTTCTTGGTTCACCTTATTGATCCTCGACCAAACTACCTCACAGACCCATTCTTAGCGTACAGAAAATATTTTATTAAACTATCTCAAATCAGCAATCGATTTCAGCATAACAGCATCAGTAGAGGTGAAGATGGAGTCTGCAAAAGAATCAATATCCCATAAGTTTCTCGATCATTTTCCAGGCTACAGCTGTTTAATGCATTTTTTACAGTCTGTCTATGAATATCAGGATTTAGGTTTGGGCTTTGACTGGGCCATTTCATTACATGCATATACTTTGATTAAACTATCCCATTCTGTATTTTTAAGGTTGCTGTTGTCTTGTTGGTAGTTGTACCTCTACCTCAGATTTTATATTTTTAAGGGTTTCCTTAAGGAAGCTTTTTTTTTTCCTTTTCAATGAGTGTTTTTAATTTCTCTTTTCTATATATGCATTTAATAGGATACCTGTATCTCTTCAAAATATTAAGGTCTCATAATGATACTGATTATATGTCATCAGCATATTCTCCTGATATGCTGTGGATCATATTCTTGCGTTACGACACACAATGAGGCACAATGAGGCTTTTTAAAACTTTTACGGAACAATGAGACTGAATCTCTGATTCATGCTTTCCTTTTTTATTAATTTATGTAGCTAAGCATGTTTCCTTATGTCTGCACTTGTTTCTTCTCTAGTTCTACTATGATTTTCTCAGTAACTCTGCTTGATCTTTTCCGTAACTAAACCCCTGACCCTTTTCTGTGCTCTTTGATCTTTCTCTTTAAATTAATTACTTGTTTGCACTGTACTTGCTAATCAGGTCACCTCTGAAGGTAATTGGTTGCTTTCTTTCCAGATTTAATTGACTGCTATCTGTTAATGGGCCGCAATATAAATCCATGTCATATTTTCTAGATTTTTACTCAAACTTTCAGACAACCATGTGTCATTCACAATTATGCATCACTCTTGACTAAATATGTAACGATCTTTGCAAAGGTTTGTACTCACTTATTTGGAAACAAAACGATAAAGATTTGCCTAATTAATCTTCCTGTAGTGTTAGCTTTCTGCTATTCGTGCTGTTTAGGGGTTGATTTTATCCGCAGTCATAACATCAATAAATTAGACACAAGATTTTTTATGTTTAATTCTTCAGATCTTTGTTGCTGTATTAGGCTTTTTCTTTTTCCTTCAAAATATTTGTTTAAATAGATTCAGGATGCTGTACTATTATTAATTTTTCAGCTTTTAAAGCATTTTTTTTTATTAGATAAAGTCAAATAATCTCCAGGTGAATATAATAAACAAATTGTTGATTATGTTATCTGACTGCTGCCGGGGAGTATTAGAACACATTTCTTTAATAAATTCATTGAATCTATCAACTTTTGAAATATAACATCTAAAGTGTTGGGGTCAAAACTGAACCCGTGATCAATGTTTTTCTTTTTTCAGGTCTTAGTGTTTGTTAGGTAAAACTTTTTCAATTATAATAAAAAATATTTTCATATTATAATTATCAGCAGCCTTAAACAGGGTTCTTCATTTTGAAATTCCGAATAATAATGAATCCTATGGTGAAAGGCAACAAGCTGTCAGTTCTTACTTGGCCATGTTAGGCATGCCCTAGACTGCTGACCTACTTCTCAGGCAGAAACCTTTTAAAGTAATTGCAAACAGTTTCTGAAGATACTTACACAAAACAATCTCAAAATGAAAAAAAGAGCTGTTGCTTTAAATATTCCCAGAAATGCTTAGTTGGAGTTTGAAATATCAAAACACCCAACACTTGCCTTCACAGTCAAAGAGTAAACAAGATGGATGCAAGGAGCTTTAGATTGAGATGGTTCAGATGGGCTAAATTACTGGATTGCGCAACTTTGAATCCCCAAATGACGCTGTTAACTAAATATTTATCAAGAAATAACCAAACTTGGGTCGCCTACATTTTGTTTTAATCATAATTAATTTGCATTTGATTAAATAAAGAGAAAAAAATAAAGAAAATAAATAAAACAAGCAGTGTTAGGAATTAAGTAAAAGCCTATGGTAAATGTTAATCCTAACATGGACTCATACTTACATAGGAAACTCTGAGATTTACAGCATCGTTTTCAGAGTAAAATTCTTCGATTTTTTTTGCAGAAAGAACGACCAAACCCTCCGCGTAATATCCATGTTTTCAGTTCAGGGCTCATATCTTCTCATCCTGAACTCAAACTTCATGTAATTACGCACAGCTGATCCAAAAGTTCAGGTCACAGAAACTGTTCATTAAGCAGTCACCCACTGCTTGACATCTTGCTGTGCTGCCAGAGCTGCGGTAAAACACTTGTCCCAGTCACTCAACTCGTTTGCGTTCATGACAGACACCAAAAAGCGTCAGAAGTCCGCGGTGGATGCTGCGCTGTGTTCAGCAGCGCGCAGTGCGCAGCGGCGGCATCCAGCGGCGCACCTCGATTTGCCCTTGAGCAGGAAAGAGAACATGAGGGAGGATGCAGCTGGACAGAAGAGGATTACCGCTCCTGCAGGCGCATCATGCCGCACTAAAAACACGGCAAAGGGATGTAGGCTGAGAGCTGGCAGTGTGAGCCCAAAAAACTGCAGGGTGGGTGGGTGAGTGGTGGGGGGTATAGTAGAGCAGATCTGACTTGCTGGGACTCTGAAGTTCACCTGAGGAGTTGCTGTTTCTGTTACATATCAGCCTAGACCACAGGAGGCAGTTTTCCTGTAATCCCATCTAATCCAATCCAATCATTTTATAAAAACAAGTGGGCTCATAACATAGCAGCGTAGATTTTTTTTTCACCAAATATGCGCCATATGTTGTTCTTTTTTTTCTTAAAAAAGGCCTATATATATATATATATATATATATATATATATATATATATATATATATATATATATATATATATATATATATATATATATATATATATATATATATATATATATATATATATATATATATATATATATATATATATATATATATATATATATATATATATATATATATATATATATATATATATATATATATATATATATATATATATATATATATATATATATATATATATATATATATATATATATTATGACCTACTTAATGCTGCATAAACATCTGATTTAAGATGGAAATTAGGCGCACACTGGTGTCGCTACTTGTGATACCTCTCACCCCAAAACAAACTCCCTCACCGGACAAGAACAACCTGAAAAGAGTTAGATTATCTCCTAAAATACTTGTGATGATTTTTTATTTATTTATTTTTTTTTTTATAAGTGAGTTTAAAAAGTATCGCAGTGAAAAACCTATATGTGTGTGTTTTTGAACATAGGGACGCCGTCAGACTTTGGATTATCATGTTTATGATCTGAAAGGATGTAGGACTCCCTCTAGTGGCCAGTAACAGTATCTCTACTGATGCGCTCCTAAAAAAAAAGACCTGAAAAATTGAACTTTTGGGATGAGGGACAAGAAATGTTTGCACATTGTTTACAAATTAAAATCCCCTTTACATTATTATTTGCTTTGTACGGAAGAGGATTAGGGCCACTGAAAAAAAGTTTATTGATTTTTACATTTTATTTCAGTTTAATATGGCGAAAAAGTCAAAATTTTGACTTTAATCTCTGAATTCTGACTTTAATCTCAGAATTCAGATTTTTTTTCTCAGAATTCTGACTTGTTTTCTCATATTAAACTGCAGTAAAATTTAAAAATCAGTTAACTTTTTTTATTTTTTCAGTTGCCCTAATCCTCTTCTGTACCTTTGCAATGTCTAAAGCAAACACAGTAGCGTCTCAGCCTAATCTGTCTCTCCATCTGTAGTTAAACTAGAATTTAACATAATAAATAAATAAAAAGGTTTTACATAACATTTCAGAAGAACTATACCCTGTAGATTTCATACCTGATTATCATTTTCAGGTTCGGTCACTTTACATTCGTCCAACACAAAGTAGTGTATGATATATATATATATATATATATATATATATATATATATATATATATATATATATATATATATATATAAATTACTAATCGGTGTAATTATTAATAATTCAACTTTATTGATCTCACATTAAAGAAATGTACCTCTACATTTAACCCATCCCCTTGGGAAGCAGTGGGCAACCATTTTGCAGCACCCGGGGAGCAGTTCATGGTGAAGGGTCTTGCTCAGGAAACCAGAGTGCAGGTGTGGGGATTGAACTGGGTACTTGCAAACTTCTTAGAGCACAAGTGCACTGCTCTAACCACTAAGCCAACACTCCAAATAAAAATATAATAAGAATAGTGAGCATTTGAATTATTTCCCTTTCTTGTTGCAATTTAAGTTAGACTTAGTTAGAATGAGAGCAACTAAATAAATTTTAACTTATCCTCCATTTTTTTTAACAGTTACTCTAACGATAACACCAGTGGTAAGGTGAGGCTCATTCTATCCCAAACTTCCACACCCTTACTTTTTAATCCAAGTACTCATACTACTACTACTAATAGATTAAGTAATGTATTATAACTGATGACGGAAAATATCATGGTGTGAAAATTGGCCAATATGGATGAAAAAAAAAATCAAAATTAAAAATAAATCTGTAAAAGATATGAGTGTGTTGACATCCACCAGTGATTTTTGCTGTTAATTTACCACTGGGAAAAGTTTGGAAATTACATTTTACATCAAAACACAAAAATTAGCCTATAACCTAATTATAAAAATGAGTAATGAGCAAGCTTTACAATATTCTTCAGTGTAAATAAGGATTTAATTGCTTAGATGAAGTTCAAATATTTCATTTTTATTTGCCATTTCTGCTGTTGTGAGGAGTTGAATCAAAATATTTTCTGTTTATTAACAAATTCATGTTTGAAACAGTTTAGAGGTGTACCAATCAAGGTAATCTGATTGTTTTTTAGGGTTTCCTTTGTAGTTTGGCGTGCCAGATTCATTTTAATTTTCTATTTTAGTTTGCAGGGTTAGTAGCACTAGTTTTAAACTCTCACAACTACTAGATGATATGCATTCATGCTTCAAAGCCTTTCTCTTATATGAAGACAGTGAAACAGAATTTGCTAATTTTTTTTAGTGTCTAAATATTTAATTTTAAATTGCTTTGACACTTTGTTTTGTTAATGTTCCATTCCAATGACAAAGTAAGAATATTAAAACCTCAACAGTTTGAATTAACTAAGTTAGTATTTGTAACGATACCTTTCATTCAGTGAAATTAGCTTTTTAAATCAAGCTTCGCTTGATCACTGTAAGCCTGTTTTTAAAGAGCATTTATAATTCTCTCTATTCACCAAAATCAGGCCTTGACCTGAACACTTATTATATCTTCAGCTCCAAAGAATGAGACACTATCCATTGCTGTGGTTAAGAGCTCTAATCAGCTCATCATGGTGGAAGTACACCCCTAAAGATAATATATTTTTTCCAATTATCACTGCAAGCAGGAGATATCTTGGCTTTCTTTAAGCTATGATTTATTTTTATTTTTTTATTTTTTTATTAGCACTCTTATATTACGGCCAGAGTTGTGACATGCACAAGGTGTCATGGCAGCATATTCTTCAACCTGAGCTGTTATTGATAATTGCAGCTCCTCTAATATCAGACATGTAGAAAGAGGATTATTTGCTACTCTGAGTTGATTCGTTTCCAAAGATTAGTAGGAGGATGTTACATTTACTCAGACACATTTACTTGAGGGATATCTAGGGGGAAGGGATTTTCTATTCTATTCTTTAAAAAAAGGGGGGGTATATCAATATTTATTTGATCTGACAGGTTGTAAAATTTTATGGAGTCACAATTTTATTATCTAAGTAATAAAAAAAAAGTCACAACCTTTATTGAACAGTTTATGTTAATTCCAGACATTTAGCATATACGAATAAAATATTTTATTTAGAATAGCTTGGTGTATATTTCGGTTGTCCCGAAAAACTGTGCTTGTCATTTTGATCACTGTGGAATGAGTAGCAGTCTTCTCCTCCGGACCGCCCTGTAAAGCAAAACAAACGTCCCTTCTCCAGTCAACGCTCTCTTTGATGAACTGCGTGTTTCAGGAAGAAGTTGGGGCCTAACGCTGCGTATTCGAGTAGCTAGCACATTACCCTAAACTATGAAAGATAATCTGTTATGTTGATTTTACAATTTTGCGTGAAGAAATAAAGACACAATGAATGATATGGGTATGTATAACATCTTGAAACTCAACAGTTTATTCCGTTTTTGTACTCGTTTTTGTTGGCCGAGTTAGCTTGTAGTATGGGGTGAGGCAGTGTTTAGCAGGCCTCGACTAATCCCTGGAACAGAATATGTTTTACACTGCAATATTGTTGTTGTGCTCTGAGCGCTGGCGGCCTTGAAGCTAACATGATAGCGTTAGCTAATATGCCTTTCTTCGCACGAAAAAAGAGCTAAATGTTTCTAACATGTTTGTTTCTAACCTTAATGTTTTAGCGACCATTTAAGTGTGCATATTAATAGAGTAGAAACAACTAGAGCTCTGCTAATCGTATTTGAAGCAGCTAGATAACGGATATATAATGATTAAACCTGCAAAATCCGTGCTAAACATGTCAAATATTATTAATGCAAAACAAGAGTTCTTCTTTCCCTTGAAAATTTGCATAAACAGATGAGAGCTTTGAAATTTAACGGAAACCAAGGGCTTTGTGGTATATAAACAACACAATGTAAACAAAGAAAAACCAGTCAGCACAAGTGACCATCCAATTTCCTTAAAAAATGAAACTTTGTACGTTGTACAATAATAAGCTAATCATTAAAAGTTTCCAACCGAACTTTAACCTTTAAGTATGAAAATATTGGTGCTACGCACCCTAATAATAAAAGCAGTTTAGTTCTCTAAATGTGTTTGATTTCATCTGTTTCTGCTGATTGATTGTTGTATTCTTATTCAAAGAATTCAGCGTCCCCTTGTCCTCATTGGCACTCCTGGTCCCACCGCTTCGCCTGATGTCAGCGGTGATGTGGGAAGTTGTTCGGCAGCGAAACATAAAGCACTATGGCAAACTGGAGGAATTCGTTTCCATGGTTACAGATGCTGTACCTGAACTGATGAGTAAACGAGAAGGGAGGCTCCTGTCCCTAGGCCTCAGAGCACGGGTAGGTAAAATGTTAGGATGCACCTCACAAAATGTATTGAGAAGAACTAAAGGAGCCATCTAACTAACTGCATTTACCGCAGACAACTCTTGAGCTGTTGCGCTCTGAACACCCAGAAGATCTGAAGGCAGTTGAGACTCATCTCAACCGGATCCGATCTTCTTGCCTGGAAGAGGTTTGTCTTGTCTATTACTGTTCTATAAATGATCATTTATATCTAGCTTTTAGGTAAAAGTTACCTCTTCGTATTTCAGACAACTCGTTTAATTGTTTGTGATGATTTTTATTTTAGTGTTTTGGTAATATACATCTATCTTATGTATAATATATGTGTTTTCCTACATTTTAACACCTTGGAAAAAGCTACCACTGGTGATATTGTTTCTCTGCTTTATTTAAAAACGCAACAGTCACTACTTCCCCGTCATCAACACAAGCATAGCCACCCTTCAGATGTACGTTGGAAGTAAACATTAGCTGTTGATGTCTGCTTAGACTTCCTTATTACACAAATGTGATTAAAGAATGACCGGCATTATCAGAAGTGATTCTGGATTA